ACTAGACAGTTGCAATGGAATACATAAGTACGAAACCTTGAAACTGAAATACATCCCAGAAACTTGAAAAAATGGTTCATACCTTGGATCTCTAAAAAATGTTTCTAGTATCTAGTCCAAAGAACTTTTCCCTGGATTTAAATTATTCCTACATGATTGATGATATCGTTATAGTTTGTAATGCAGTAATGAATAAAGAATGAGAAATATTTCCCTGAATTTAAAGAAAATTCCCTGAGTTTCCAGGTCAAAAATTGAATTCCCAGATTTTCCAAGTTTTTCCAGGAAGTCGACACCCTGACAAATGTAATTCTAAACTTTTCAGAAGTTGTCGTGGACTTCATTCCATCAGGCTGAGTTATCTGATCTTAAGTTTCTGACTTTTTGTGACCTTCTCTGTTACAGAGTACAGTAGCTTATTATGCTTTTTGTAAATTTTGTATTCAATGAATTTCCGAAACAAAATCGTCGCCCCATAGGGCTTAACTGAGGCGACAGTTAACTGAACTTCTGTTAACGTTTTCTTACACTGAAGATCCCCGAACATCTCAAGAAGCTTGTGTGAGGAATTCAAGGCGCAAGGAATCAGCTGTAGAAACTTCTATACGACTTATTATTGTGGGAACTTTTCGAAACCGAAATGAGTGCTACTCCGGTTGGAGAACTCCTGAAAGTATCAGGTAGCATCTGACCCTCAAGAATCCCTAGAAATCTTCTGATCATGATAGATAATAAAAGCTACATGTGAGAGCTGAAATGCATTTCTGCTATGTCGAACCAGTTTTCAAATTAACTCAAAAGGCCTCGATGTGAATCTGACTATTCCCGACATTTCGATATTACGCAAATTTGACAGATAAGTGTCGTTTAACTGAAATTTATTTCAAATAGCGGTCTTTCACCTAGCGAACGTTTCATTCGTGTTTATGCTTCAAAGGAATGAGTGTACTAATTGTGCGATTTCTCATATTGGGACCCGAAAACTTGAACACTTTTTAGCTAATTCGTGGTTTGTTCGTTGCGTCAGAAGCATGTTCACCAACCATTGCGCCAGGTCCGTTGCCACCTTCGAAAATTGGAGCTCATTGTATGGTAAAATCCACAATTTGCTCAAACATATCTGCTTTCGTATCGTAGTTTTCGACACATCATTTCAATGCTGCGTATCGTCGCCGTATTGTAATGTGAGTGGCTCGGTGGCCTGATGGAGACCATTTTTGCTTAATATGAACATACAAATTTAACGCAGCGATTTCTCGTGGAAATGCAGAGGATTTCTCGGCATCACGTCAACACATTTCTACCCACAGTGTTGGAATTGCCTATTGTAGTAAGAGAGGGGGCCTCATAGCCTAGTCAGTAAAGACACGGTATTACCAAGCCGGAGGCGGCGGGTTCGATTCCCGGTCCGGTCGAGGGAATCTTTCGGGTTGGAAATTTTCTCGACTTCCCTGGGCATAGAGTATCATTGTGCTTGCCACACAATATACAGATTCATGCATTGGTATTGGCATCGAAAGCTCTCAATTAATAACTGTGGAAGTGCATTTAGAACACTAAGTTGAGAGCACGCAATAAGCTAATATGCACTAAGCTATAAGCTTGACATGCGAATAAGAAGAAGAAGAAGAAGAAGAAGAAGAAGTAAGAGAGTAAGAGAGTAGGAGAGATCCGCTCTCTACAAGCATCGCCTATTGATTCTCTGTGTAATTGCAGGTGATCTGGAGGAGCAACCACGTTCATGCTCTGATCATAGTTTGTATGAAACTGTTCTATCACTGTGCACCGAATTCCAATGTAACCACCCCAAATTTGCGCATCAATTGTTGAATTGAACAATTCGTTACGTTTTCCGCACCTACAGCTAATGGTTATGGTGGCTAATGATCAAGCGACGCTATTATTTCAACGCATAAATTGATGTTCGTCAAAATTCAAAACACTCACTATCTCACCCAACCAAAGCATGACGGTGACAATAAGATAGCAGTGCGGTAATTTACTTATTTGGACTGACAAATTGTACCAACTTAACACCGGCGGTTTGGTAGTGTAACTGTAGCTGTTTCTCTCCGAAAATTTTCCATTTCGTCTGTGTGTACCAAAGGCATACATTATCAATGTTAATTGTGCGTGCCTTACGGCTTACCAAAGTTTAACTTTAAAATTTTCACTTTAATGCCATCCCACCGACAGTGTTACAGATTCTACCTTACACAATGAGTCTGAGTGTAAATGTCTTATTAGTATAATTTTAATCTATTTCTCAGTCACGATCACGAAATTTCAACGGCCGTTGCCTACAGGAAACAACGACCCCGAGGGAAGTTTCTGGTCCACTGAGTCTCGACTATCGAACTTTTTGGCTTCCACTTTTCCACCCACCGAGAGGGCAGATCTAATGTATAAGACAGTTTGTTCAAACGGAGCAAGAGGTGCGGATGGAATCACGTTTTATCGTTTGACTTTTCTAGATTTAGGATAAAGGAACGTTGCACCGCAATGGGTGATGGGGTTGGGAAAAAGGAAAGCATGTTGACGCAAAACTGTTCATTACTTCATATTACCTGCGCTCGGCTGCTATCTATTACTGGATGTTGCATATGTTGACCGTTGTTCTCATCATCATCTCAGCGATCCCTCTCGCCGCGTTTTCTCGACACACACGCCACGCGTACTTTTCATTCCTCTGATGATCCATAGTATGTTCTGTTGGCCTTGGTGTAACTTGCTGCTGTTGATGCTTATGCTGATAAAGGTGAGATGCGCCTCTCTACTCTATTTTTTTTCTCTGAGTTCAAAATCGAATAGAGAACTAAAATTTGGGTTGTTTTTTTAACGAATTCATTAAAACGGTTTCTTCATGTGTATATATTTGTTCGTTGTTGGACGTGGAGGAAATCAAATTTGCTGCGCAGCGACGGGTGATCGTATAAGACTTTTAATATTTAGAAGGCCTCGGTCGGGTAAACTTTCCCTGAAGGTATGCTGCATGCTGATCAACCAGTTTGGGATTGTTGGAGTTGTTGTTGTTGTTTTGGAGCTGTTCAACCATTCACTCTATCTCGCGCTTGCATTCATTAACCGGAACCGGATAGTACTCATTAGATGGGATAGCTGTTACTGGTCAATGATTTAGTGAGGGTGAAGAGTTTCCAAGGCTAGACTCACACACACAATATGGTCCGAAACGATGATTTAGCAGGAAAAAATATTCACGGTAATAATCAACGGTAATAATCAATAACAAAACAAACACTGCACAACGCGCTGAACCGCATTTGAAGTGGTTTAAGGTTCTGATTCATGGCCAATATCGGTTTCATTGCTTGATCCACCAAATAATGGCCCAATTGTAAACACTACTTCAGCTTCAGCTTCTGGCTCAAAATATTCCGTTCTCACCTACATAAATGTCCTGTCTGTCTCTGTCCACTGTGCACTGCTTTCTTTGTAACAGAGGAAAGTGTAACAAACTTTTAGAAATCATTTCCTTAACATAATACACGAGGGAGCAATCATAACAGAACTGCGAAAAGTATGCGTACCGGCACTGTTTATTTACTTTTGGCGATTATTGTCTGCGATGAGAGTGGTCTCTCTATTCAAATTTAAATGCAAAAGCTATATTTTTTTCTTTATTTGAGGTAATAGATCACACTTATGCCGCGGATACACTTGTTTGACAAACTATGAACATGAGCATTATTTGTATAATAAATTATGAGCACATCCATGGTCACACTTGTATAGTTTTTGTTTAGTTGTTGTATAGTGTTCATAATTATTATACAAATAATGCTAATGCTCAAAGTTTATCATCCAAATGTATCCGCGGCATTGATTGTCATTGCCGAGATTTCAACAGCCAATTAGTTCTGCATTTTATTTTGCTGGGGCTCAGTATAAAAATGTCGAGACACAGCTAGCAAAGTAGACTTTTGCTGAGATACCAGCAAAAGTAAATGCCAACCTAATCGAATCGATACCAATGTCAATATTGCACGCGTGATCCGGTTTGAAAAAAAACATTATTAACTCAGGGTGGCAACCCAAAAGTTCAAACAAAATTCCCTGAGTTTTCCAGGGTTTTCCAGGTACCAACACTAAATAACCAGGTACACATTCTATGCACTGCCTAGGGCCTAGGGCTAGGTCACTCAGCACAGTGTGCCAAAGACACAGTACGGCACACCGTGGCACATAATTTCTATGATCTCTAAAGAAACTGGCATCACTGCACTATTTCAGTGCGGATGTGTTAAAATTTGATTGTTGACACAAACAATGTTTCACCATTACTGCCGCAACCGGAGCAAAGGAAGATGCCGACATCGTCCCTGTTGTTGCTGCGGCCGCCTCGGACGGTAACTTTTACTCGGCCACCAACTGGATGGATCGTGCTGAACTGTTCCTTCCGATCGTTCTATTCCCGGGTTGTCAGCAGTAGCGCCAACACCGCCAGCCTCATCATTATCGTCAGCAGTATCTCACTATCTTCTGTATCACAATCGTCTTCTAGTAGTAATAGAGCTCCTGTTGTTTAGTTTTGGCCAATCCGATCGCCATCGACCAGACTGATGCACGTTCCGTCCGGTCAGACTGGTAAGATCGGTGTAAATAATATTCATCTCACTGCCGGAGATATCGTCAGACCAATCTCATCATTGTGCGACAGCGGACAAATAGCATCGTCCAGCATCTCGTGGGGATCCATGAACATGTGGACATGCTCATCGGCATCTTCACCATCGAAAGCTGGAGCAGATATTCGCATCTACGTAGCACTTCTACGGATTGGTTTCGTACGGTTAGCAGGGGACGACTTTGGCAAAATAGAACTGTGACGAATTGATTTCCAGTAGCTCCTGGATGGTGATCCAAGTTTTCAACTCCAATTCTTCGCAGGATTTCTTCAAGAATGGGTTCTCGAAGAACATCAACACGTACAGTGATGATGCCAATTAATAGTGGATAGCGTAGTTATCTCTCTTATTTCCCGTTTCTCCTCGATCTTAATCATAAACAGCGGCACGAGTTTCTCCTTCAGTAGCTCAGCTTAACCAGCGTGTAAAATTTGCTGTACTCTTCGTGGATCAACTCTTCATCGCACTGCGACATACGGGAGACGTAACTGAGCCGATGCCATCAGCCTACCCAAGCGAATTGTCCACCGAACTGGTCAGGCTGTTGAACGTCAACGTCAGATTGTGATGCTTATCCTCATTCTCCAAGTTGTTGTACGATGATTCCGGACCCGGCTTGCCTAGCGGCAGTAAGCCTTCCTCTCGCAGGGAAGCGTCTGATTCTAACTGGTGTACAGTATGCTGATCGCGTTCCCATCGTAGTGAATCACTTCCTCGAGGTACTTTCCATCCGACCTGCGTGGTCCACACGGAATCGGAAGTGTGAAAAGTCAGTCCGATGACTGGAACTTTCGGCACACTGAGAAAAACGTTGGCGCACAATAAGTGTGTAGAGTGCCGGTTACAAGTATGAACGTAAACTCAGAAAATGAATTTCCTGGTTTTGAGGTAAAGTCTGGTCCACTTAGAATCCGAACACTTTATTTATTCTATAGCAGACCCTCTAGTGTTCGGATTTGGAATGTTTTGACAGCGATTTGTTTTGAAAGTACACGTTTCGTCTCGATACGTACCGTAATAAAAAAAAAGTTGTACTAGATGGAAGACGAGAAAATAAAATTGATCCTGCACACCCACGTCGAAAACTCGACGTGGTCAATTCAAAATATCGTGAAAAAGTTGAAAACTGCCCTTTCCACTGTAGGAGAAGGTTCAAGGCAAACGTCGCGCTGGGATTTCGCCAAAAAAATACGGTGCCAGCCGTAGTACCGTCCGGAGGATCCATCTGCGAGCATTCTGTTTCTCCAAGCAACCGAACAGGACGATGAAGCAGAACCTAGTGGCCAGAACACGTGTATTGTCGTCAAGCTAAACAGCGTCCGCACTTCTACTAGCAATTTATCGGCGTCACGCATACATATGACGTGTATGCTGCTTGCTAGTCTATCCATTCCAATCACCAGAAAACGGTTTGAAAACCTTCCGAAGTTTAGTGGGAACGAATCACGCTGGATATCGTTCCGAGATAATTTCCTTTCCATGATCCACAGCAACGATGAAATTCCGACAGTTAACAAGCTTCAATACCTGCTGCAGTCGTTAGAAGGAGATGCCAACAAGCCGTTTGAGAGTGTCGATATTCAAGCGGACAACTATGCGTCGACCTGGGATGCCCTGATGAAAAGGTACGACGATAAACGGTTCCTCAGGAAAGAGTTGTTTAGAGGATTGTTCGATCTACCATTGATGAAGCGTGAGTCGGCACACGAGCTGAATACTCTTGTCGACGACTTTCAACGGCACGTCAAGGCTTTGGGCAAACTCGGTGAGCCTATAAAGCACTGGGACACTCCACTCACCTTCATCCTCTGTAACAAGCTCGATGTATCCACGCTGCGTTCCTGGGAGCATGAAACTCGTCAGAAGGAAGAGGTCAAATATGATGAGTTAGTAGAGTTCCTCATACAGCACGTACGAATGCTCAAGTCAGTTTCCAGTGATCTACAGCATCGTTCCCAAGGGGCTACCATCAAGGTGGCTGGTACAATTCCCAAAAAATCGACTTCAGTCAAGTCCATTGCAAACGCTGCAACGAATGAATCTAATTCGAACGCTCTACAATGCCATGCCTGCGCACAGAAGCACCAACTCTATCAATGTCCAACGTTTGCCAATCTTAGTGTCAAGCAACGTCGAGAATTGATCTCCCAGCGAAGCTTGTGTTGGAACTGCTTCCGCCCAAATCACCAAGCAAAGATCTGCAAATCTAGGTTCTCGTGCAGAACGTGTCACGCTAGGCACCACACGTTGTTGCATGACCAAGCTGCTCCAAAGATCACACCAAATCCTGCCACCAAATCAACTCCTGCTAACTCGTCGAATTCTGCTCCGCAACAACAAACTCCATCCACGTCGGGGAACGTGGGGACCGCTGGATCATCTAATCCACCCGAAGTGAACCTCTCCGTTCAATCTCGCCATAGTACGGTCCTACTGGAAACGGTTGTTCTGACCATCGAAGACAAACACGGCAAGGAAGTTCGTGTTAGAGCCCTACTCGATTCAGCAGCGATGTCCAACTTCATCACGAAGAAACTGGCAAACACACTTGCCACCCGTCAAGCTTCCGTGGACATTGCTGATGCTGGAATTGGAGAATCCGTCAAGCAAATCAAACGGCAAATCACTGCCACGATCAAGTCACGGACAAGCTCCTATTCCACCACACTCGAATTTCTCATAATGAAGAAGCCAACCGCTAATCTGCCAACAATTGCCATCAATACCGCTATGTGGAACATGCCAAACGTTCCACTAGCCGATCCGCATTTCAACATTCCGGGCATGGTCGACATCATTATCGGTGGAGAATGCTATCATGAATCAATTTGTCAATCGGTGACGGTCTACCACTACTGGTCGACACGCTTTTCGGGTGGACAGCTTCTGGGAGAACATCCACCAATTCCTCTGTCGTACCACCAGTCTGTTACCTATCAACCGTCGATCGATCTTTCGAAACAGCAATTCAACGTTTCTGGGAGCTAGAAGCCGTCGACCATGGCCCAACGTATTCCACTGAGGAAAAAGAATGCGAAGAATGTTATGCCACTACTACCACCCGAACTCACTCAGGAAGGTACGTCGTACGCCTTCCTCGGTCCGAAGATCCGCAAGTCACCCTCGGTCAATCTCGAGCAATTGCCACCCGCCGATTCTACAGCCTCGAAAGACGCTTCGAAAGAGATCCCGCCTTAAAGCAAAAGTACCACGCATTCATCGAAGAATCATCACTACTTCTAACAACAGCTGATCTGACAGCCTCCGACTGTGCCTTGGTCCGATTAGCTCAACAACAGCTCTATTCAGAAGAATTAGCAGATCTCAGCAGCTCAGCAATTGTGAAGACTCCTCCGATGAAATGGTTACATCCATACCTCAGCGACGACGGACTTATTCGTGTCGGTGGGCGACTTGCCAATGCTGATGTTCCAGAAGCACGCAAACATCCTATCATTCTGTCGGTCAAGCATCCGTTGACTAGTTTGCTTTCTGAACGCTATCATAAGACACTCCTCCACGCTGGACCCCAGCTGATGTTGTCCACCATACGCCAGAAATACTGGATTATTGGAGGGAGAGATCTTGTTCGCTACACCTATCACCGATGCATCAAATGTTTCCGCACCAAGCCGAGTCTCGTCAAGCAAAGCACTGCTGATCTGCCAAGGTCTCGTGTCGTACCAGCTCGCCCATTCTCAAATAGTGGCGTAGATTACTGTGGCCCAATATTTCTCAAGTCCCCAGTGCGTAACCGCGCACCTATCAAGGCATATATTGCGATCTTCGTGTGTTTCACCACAAGAGCCGAACTGGTATCAGACCTCTCAACGCCAGCATTTCTTTCCGCTCTCCGTCGCTTCGTTGCTCGCCGTGGCCGCATTCAGGAACTCCATTCCGACAATGGAACGGCCTTCAAGGGAGCATCGAATTCACTTCACCGCATCTATGACATGCTGAAGCTCAACGACACTGATCGAGATACCATCTTCAACTAGTGTGCAGAGCAAGAAATCCAGTGGAAGTTTATTCCACCACGGGCTCCACACTTCGGAGGACTGTGGGAAGCAGCCGTGAAATCATGCAAGCACCATCTCCTGCGAGAAATCGGTCAGACGTCACTAAGCCCTGAAGACATGACAACCTTACTTGCACAAATCGAAATGTGCCTAAATTCTCGTCCTTTGACTCCGATTCCGACCGATTCTGCTGACTTAGAGGTTCTAACACCAGGCCATTTTCTTGTTGGCTCGAATCTCCAAGCTGTTCCGGAAGTAAATGTCGTCGATATACCAAACAATCGTCTAGACCACTGGCAACGCACTCAACAGTTGCTTCAGCGTATCTGGAACCGATGGTATCCGGAATATCTTGCCCAATTGCAATCGCGAGCCAAGAAGGGTTGCCGTTCACCGGTTAAAATTCAAGTCGGACAGATCGTGATTGTGAAGGACGAAAATCTTCCACCAGCGCAATGGCCCTTGGGTCGTATAACAAAGCTCCATTCAGGAAAAGACGGAATCGTCCGTGTAGTCAGCATGAAAACTGCCACATCCGACAACGTTGTACGACCAGTTGCCAAAATCGCCCTATTACCGTTGCCAACCGAACCTGATGATCAGCAATAACAAATTGCAAGCAGAAACTCCAAAGACCGGTAGAGCAGTCCGAAACTTGCTCGATGCGTATTTGGACAGCCATCAGGTGATTGGCGTTCCAACATCTTTATTATCTCCTGTGCGTTCTACCGGGTCTTTTATTTTACAGATCATCATTCTACTCTCCTCGCTTCATTCTACGAGCTTCAACTTCGTCCACTCGGCTAAGCAGTCTACTGAATGAGACCATTCAATCACCGTTCAACCGATGAATGATATCAACGATCGTCAGCATCATCGTGTTCATCATCCCGAAGTTTGCCGATTTCGAAGAGAGAGTTGTGAGAAGATAAGTATTGTGAGAGTTTGAAGCAGTGTGACTGTTTCAAGGTGGCCGGAATAATCAGTACGCTGATTATGTATATAGTTCGCTTTATGTATTTTAACTTGTAAATAGTAATTAAGTAATTTAATCATAAGCAAAACTTGAATTCTTTGAACAAAATTGAATTCAAACTGACATAACAACTGCACGCGATCACTGTAAATATTCTATTCTCTATCCGTGCAAAGCCATTAGCAAATTGAATTCAGTTGCAAATATACAGCAGGAGCGTTCGGTATCTATCCCGTGTTTTCTTTGTCCGCTCGATCGTCTAAGGCTTATCAAGTGATATACAGTGCAAGAAAATCTAAAAATAATTTCCTCGTTCACATCCGAAACGATCCAGAGTTTGTGACCAAACCGGGAAGTTCCGTCGGTCGTAGTGCGTGGGTTATCCTATGGATTGTTTCGTGGATACGTGTGTCCGAATCCATGAATTCGTGAAAGTGATTATAGTGCGTTAAGAGATGGCACTGCACAGTGGTTCCCCTTAGAACAAAAGTTGGACAAAACCTCAAAAATGCTGCAAATAAACAAAAAAACAGTTGAAATGGATGTTCTTTAGCTGTACAAAGAAAACTTGACAATCAAGACGTCAAAAAATTGAAGGAGAAGTATAGTAGAACCAAAACCAATGTTTGTTTCAAGCAAAAATGTAGAATTTTCTCTTTCTCTCTCTATCTTCTCTCTCTTTGTCCCTCTCTTTTGATCTCACACACACACACACACACACACACACACACACACACACACACACACACACACACACACACACACACACACACACACACACACACACACACACACACACACACACACACACACACACACACACACACACACACATACACATGCACACACACACACACACACACACACACACACACACACGCACACACACACAGACACACACACACACACACACACACACACACACACACACACACACACACACAGACACACACACACACACACACACACACACACACACACACACACACACACACACACACACACACACACACACACACACACACACACACACACACACACACACACACACACACACACACACACACACACACACACACACACACACACACACACACATACACACACACACACACACACACACACACACACACACACACACACACACACACACACACACACACACACACACACACACACACACACACACACACACACACACACACACACACACACACACACACACACACACACACACACACACTCATTTGTAAATATTTTATTCTGCATTAAAACCTTAATAATTTATTTACTATATATTATATTAAGTTTTCAAAAGCACTATCGCTCTGATGCGATGATGGCTTCAAAAATTTGCGTACATATAAGATTTGACGTTTGTTGTGTGGTGTGAGTGCGTCATGTTCACATGTTCACAGTTATATACCACATGTTTTATATTACATGGTGTATACAGCTGCTGGCGATTGACCAACGAATAGGAAACGAGTTTTGATTATGAGTTCTTAATGTGTATTTCACTACGTGCATTAAAAATTTCCTGTAATAACAGTAGGATTGTTCTAAGTAAATTTGACAACATGGAAACCTCTACCATCCAACTTACGTTTAGTATCTCAACTCTTCTATTCGGTGTTTCCTTCTGTCGTCGCTTTGAGTTGGGTTGAAAGATAAGTGCTGTAAATTAGTCGTATTAATAATTTAATCTTTTTCAGTTAATCCTTTTAATTTGTCGAACCTCTTAACGGAATCCCTTTATGAAGAGCTTTGAGTGGGTTGGTTTATTTCCTTTAAATTCCGTTATAATTGTTTATATTTTGACAGATACGCGTATTTCGTCTACTACTTGCAGACTTCATCAGTGCCAAGTACTTTCAGTTGTTGCTTCTAGCTACCGTCACACGGCACGGAACTCCTATTCAGATCACTGTCTTCGGGTGAATAGCACGGAACTCCTATTCAGATCACTGTCTTCGGGTGAATACTGTTTAGCAGCGTATTAATGTGCAAGGTCCCACGATATCGTTTTTTTTTATTTCTAACCTTACTGTTTTTATATGGCTACACACTTGATGATCAGCTCTTGTTTAATCAATCGTACAAAATTTAGATTAACTAGTAAGTAAGCAAATGTAAGGATAACTTGAGAACATTCGAACAAATAATGAAAGCAATTCGATAGCACTAGGTTGTAGATAATTACACGATATAGTTGTAGTTTTAGGATTTTTACGAAGGATTTAACTAGATTTAGGAACTAATTTTAATTTTTTGCAGTCAACCACATTACGTTAGATTGTATCTTTTCTTCACTCTTTGCCTCGACAACGCCCACTAGATGAAATTGTTTGAGTGACAGTCGTAAGCAGCCGGTCGCGTTAACGGGCCGGTTTGCGCTTTCTTACTGAACAAGTCAGCGCGGACCGTGGGTTTCTCAACAACAGCTCTTAAATGCTGTAATAATGTGTGTGTGTGTGTGTGTGTGTGTGTGTGTGTGTGTGTGTGTGTGTGTGTGTGTGTGTGTGTGTGTGTGTGTGTGTGTGTGTGTGTGTGTGTGTGTGTGTGTGTGTGTGTGTGTGTGTGTGTGTGTGTGTGTGTGTGTGTGTGTGTGTGTGTGTGTGTGTGTGTGTGTGTGTGTGTGTGTGTGTGTGTGTGTGTGTGTGTGTGTGTGTGTGTGTGTGTGTGTGTGTGTGTGTGTGTGTGTGTGTGTGTGTGTGTGTGTGTGTGTGTGTGTGTGTGTGTGTGTGTGTGTGTGTGTGTGTGTGTGTGTGTATGTGTGTGTGTGTGTGTGTGTGTGTGTGTGTGTGTGTGTGTGTGTGTGTGTGTGTGTGTGTGTGTGTGTGTGTGTGTGTGTGTGTGTGTGTGTGTGTGTGTGTGTGTGTGTGTGTGTGTGTGTGTGTGTGTGTGTGTGTGTGTGTGTGTGTGTGTGTGTGTGTGTGTGTGTGTGTGTGTGTGTGTGTGTGTGTGTGTGTGTGTGTGTGTGTGTGTGTGTGTGTGTGTGTGTGTGTGTGTGTGTGTGTGTGTGTGTGTGTGTGTGTGTGTGTGTGTGTGTGTGTGTGTGTGTGTGTGTGTGTGTGTGTGTGTGTGTCTGTGTGTGTGTGTGTGTGTGTGTCTGTGTGTGTGTGTGTGTGTGTCTGTGTGTGTGTGTGTGTGTCTGTGTGTGTGTGTGTGTGTGTGTGTGTGTGTGTGTGTGTGTGTGTGTGTGTGTGTGTGTGTGTGTGAGTGTGTGTGTGTGTGTGTGTGTGTGTGTGTGTGTGTGTGTGTGCGTGTGTGTGTGTGTGTGTGTGAGTGTGTGTGTGCTTTGAAAAATGCATTGCGAAGCTTGCTACAGTATGCAGCGCAGATTATATAACTAAGATACGCATGTTTTTCAAAGAACACTTTACTTGTTAATCCTAATTTCAACATCTTTCGCAAAAAATCGCAAAACAAATTATAGCCTATCTGAAAGCTAACTTTTCAAGCTATCTTTTGATTACTAAAGGATAGTGGGCGGATGTGTCCTTCATATGTTTTGCTTAGCCTAAATGTGAAAAAAGTATATTTTTACCATTTTTCTATTAGAAACTGTTACTTAAAACAATGCAGACACTATTTTTTATTATCCATTTGACGTGAAATAAGCCGAGGAACATTTCTTCTAAAGCAACCAAGTTGATATACACATTATTTTTTGCTTTATTTGAGCAAAACAGTAACCAGAAACGTTACGATTTTTTCCGAAAATGTCTTATATCGCTACCTTACAACAAACATAAAAAGATCTGTAATCAACAAAACTGCACAAATCATTCAATTTAAGATACTCTTAACTTGTAAAAATGATAAAAAAAATTGAAATAAAAGAAATATCAACTTTCATTTTTGAGGTTTTGTCCGGCCAGGAACCACTGTGCACTGTGAAGATCAGTGCTACTGCAGTGAAATTTCGTTTTCCCAGAGTTGTGGCTCCGTTGTTTGAAACAACGGGTAGAAAAACCTCCGGTGGCCGACAATTAGAGCCCACGCTCGAACACTCAGCTAGATCTGGTCAATCACCACGGAGTAGTAACTACGAAAAGTATGGTCGGGCCCGGCATGGAGGCGTAACTGTCCCATGTGCTATGGAATTTCAATACACTTCATACTTCACTCTGTGGCATGTTTCTAGGGCTACGCCTACGGGTGAAGAAATTGCCTGAGACTTGTGCTTTAACCTTCCACTTTTCCTGGTACTTCAGGATCGAGTCCTGCGCTTGCTGCAGTTTCGCAACTACAATGGTGGCATCACGATGTGAGGTTAAGAATCCGGTGTCATCCGCGCATCCCTTAGCTCAGTCGATAAAAGCGCAGCTACAAAGCAAGACCATGCTGGAGGTGGCTTCCCTGGGCATAGAGTATGATTGTACTTGCCACGCTATAAATACTTATGCAAAAATGGTAGCAGGCATCGCAAGCTCTCAATTATTAACTGTGGAAGTGCATCTAGAACACTAATTTGAGAGCACGCAATAAGCAATAAGCTTGAAATGCGAGTAAGGAGAAGAAGTCATCCGCGAAAAAGTAGTAGTGAACACCGTTCACTCTGATGAGGTCAGCAGAGAAGATGTTGTACAGAGTTGCACTCAATACAGAGCCTTCAGGAACTCCATCCTCCTTGTGCACCCATTCACCAAGACTTGAACACAGTTCAAGCCTTCAAGAAATTATAAATCGTCAAGAAGTATCAGGCCTGAAGATTTTCCTTGCTCACAGCACTGCGTTACCATTTCCACCAAACGGAATGGAATCCAAACTGTTCATGCGGGACGATACGAGTTGTTTCCAAGTGTCTTTCGATACGAGTTAAGATAACGCGCTCGAACAGTTTGCCAATTGTTGGATGCAGGCTAAATTGTCTATAGTTTGATGGGCTGGCAACGACTATTGCGTTTTTTCAGTCAGAAGGGACATAGCAAAGTTCGATGCAGGCAGAAAATATCTTAGCAAGAAACACTTTGCCGTTACGGGGAAGACGTTTCTAATGCTGTCGTGTGCTGGCGCTTTTTCTACTTTCAGTTTACGGATGATCCTGTCAATTTGCTTAGGGAGAACCAGCCATGTGTAGTCTGCAGGTGGCGTTGACTGGTTGAATTGCTCGATGGATGTCTTCACAGCTTCAGCCGTAGCCATTTGGTTATTGTACGATGTTACAAAGTTTTCGGCAAGCAGACGACGCCTACTTCGAAGTTGAATCAAATGCTGAGGTTCGTTCGGA